TTTGATCTTAATAATATGTGGTGCCCTGATGTTGCTACGCATTCTCCAACGCGCCTAGGCATGCTTCTGATAGGTGGTCAATGTCCTCCTGTGGTATCTCATTCCAGACAACCACCAACTCCTCTCGAAGTGCTTCTAGAGTCTGAGGAGGACGTTGCAAATTGCGCAATCTCCTACCCATCATATCCCACATGTGCTCAATTGGAGATAAGTCGGGAGAAGATTAAAGGTGACCTGGAACAATAAGCTATAGCACCCCAAACCATAACTCCAACAGTGTGATGAACATGTCTTTCAACAAAAAATTGTGGATTCCTCCTTTCACCACGTCGCCTTCTAACCCTGGCACGACCATCGTGCATGCCTAAACAAAATCGAGACTCGTCACTAAAGACAATACTGTTCCATTCCTGATCCCAGAGTGACCGTTGTCTGCACCACTCAAGGCGATTACGTCGGTGTTCTCGAGTTAAAGGGAGGACCCAGTGTGACCGGTATGAAAACAAGCCAAAACTTCTCATTCGTCGGTAACACTTCGCATGCCAATAGGACTTCCGTGTTCTGCAAACCATTCATTTGCAATGGACCTGGTAGTGGAGAAACGGTCCCTTAAGGCCAATAATCTTAGGCGGCGATCTTCACGGTCTGTTGTTCTACGGCGGCGTCCAGTGCCCCTTGCTCTTTGCGTACGGCCTTCTCGAAGCCATGCCTGACAACACCTAACCACAGTGTCTACACTTCTTTGCACTCTAACTGCAATTGCCCGAAAAGAAAGTCCAGCTTCCCGAAGTCCCACTATACGGCCCCTATCAAACTCACTAAGTTGACGAAATCGTACAGGTCTCCGTACTCTAGGCATCGTAACCGATCGTAAAGGATGTCAAGAACCAAAATCCGCCAACGTTGATTCTTTACTGTGGCTGAAAAATTCATTTTTAGAGCGTTAGCTAGAGAGACATTAGGTCTCTGAAAAGATGTGCTGGGTTTTGGGGTATGGGAATTAGTGTTACTAGAAAATGTGGGACAATCTTTGCCACGAATTATAGTCATTGCATTGTCTTCTTCTTCACAAATTTGCAAAGCATCTTGTAAAGACGAAGGTCTGATCCTGATGGATGTGAGATGATCTGAATAGGGATTTTTACGTTCAATGAGGATGGACCCTAATTGCTTGTTCTGAATGAGCAAGGCTTATGCATTCATTCATTTCTCTTAATTTATCTAGAACTCGTTCATAAAATTGACGCTAAGTTTCGGTGTTGCTTCGCTTGAACATAGTCATTTCGTTTGACAGGAAGGTTTCATTTTTAGTATTTTCATAATTTCGAATAAGAACATCACGAGCTTCGACCCATGAAGTGGCACCGTGATTTCTGACCTTTTCGAGAGCTTGATCTCGAATATTTAACATGACCAATTCGACGGCAGGCTCTTCGAATTCTGTGTTTTGGAATTTTGAAATGAACAATTCACTTTCTCGGATAAAGGTAGACAAATTATTTTGGTTAGGAGAAAATTTTGGCAGAGAGTCTTTAAAACTCCTGAATCGTAGTTCAAGCATTCTGTAACGTTCATTACCATTTTGGTTGTGCCATTGTGGTTTCAGAATTTGAAATATTTTGGTCAAGAGAAGAATCAGTAGAACTAGAACTTGAACGTGGATAAGTGTAAGGGGAGTATGAACTCTCTCTAGTAAATCGTCTAACAAGAGGCATAAAAATACAATCTTAAATACTAACAAGCAAAAATGTAGCAAAAATCAAATAAGTCGTCTTGTTCTCCAAATGGTATCTCTTCTTTGTACAATATCAATTAATAGCAAGATCTCCTTACATTTTTTTTTCAATTTCCTCAATAAAAATCTTCTTACTTCTTAGTAAACTTTTTAAATCTACTTACAATGACGTGATCAGCATCGATGTCGCCAAGGGACCCATTCGTTCTATTTTCTGGTTGTTCTGGATGCAAAAGTTTTCTCCAAAAAGGTACTGGAACTGGTGGCCACTAGGATAAACTTGGAACAGGAACTTGAGAAGTCTTACCGGCCTCGGAAGTCTTTCACAGGTTTCAGTAGCGATACCCAATTGCAAAAGTTTGAAAACTTTTACCTCCTAAGTTCAGCTGGCTTTTCAGTGAATCTTCTTGATTTCTGACCAAGTCACACTACTTGATGAAGGCTGGGCATCCTGTTCGCACCGCCAATTGAATACATGTGGATCGTCGGTGATTGATTGCACTAAAGAATTATCACCCGCGTTCCTATTTCTCTTATAATCGCCAAAGCATGTTAGAGAAATACTTCAGTAACTTTTGTAGAGTAGCTTTTATTGAGGCATCAGCAACAGTAGAGAACAGAAGAACAAGTAACGAAATGAGTACAGAGAATAGTCAAAGACCCTTTTTATATACTGGATTAGAGTTACGAATTTTCCAGAAATCAGTAGTGTCGGGTAAAAATGCAAACATCTTCACATCCTGTCTCTCTAGTATCGGACGGTGTTATACTCGTAGGGACTTCGGTGTTCATGCTTTAAGGTAATGGCATCGGGATACCATAACTTACATAGTGTTCCGAGAGGAAATGGGCATAGGCTGTCAATGATAGTAAACATTTTGCCGCAGAGGTATTATATAAAAAACCTAAAAAACATAGAAGTTTCCATCAACACAAACCAACTGCAACCAAGTGTTAGAATACTAAAAAACAATAAATGCAGTGGAATCGACTTATAATAAACTTGCTTATAATGGAAACCCGTGTACAATGGACACAATTTAAGGTCCTATAAATAATTGCATGTTAAATCCTCGGATATTATAGATTCGCTTAAAATAGACCCTCGCAATTTGGGAAATTGATTGGAGATTACTTCAAATGTAGTTCCGGTTGGCTAGACAGGTTTAAAAAAAGACATAACATTGTTTTTGGAAAAATGTGTTGTGAGTCAGCTTCAGTTGGCAAGAACGTTACCAATGATTGGATTTCTCAAGTTTGGCCCGTAATGTCCAGTGATTATTCAGATGATCACAGATTCAATGCAGATGAAACTGGGATATTTTATAGAATGCTACCAGATAAAACTCATGAATTAAAAGGTGAAACTTGCAATGAAGGGGGAAACTATCAAAAGAGCGAATAACTGTTATGATTTGTGCTAATGCTTCTGGTACGGAAAAACGGAAACGATTGATAAATAATAGGTAAGTGAATGAATAGAAATTCATGTTCTAATTTTTTGATATTCAATGGCAGTGCTGCAAAGAATTTATGACCTTTTTTTCCTTCAGGGAAATTTAAGAATCCCAGGTGTTTTAAAATGTTAAAACAAATCCCGTCGATTATGTTGGAAATAATAAAGCTTGGGTGACTTCATCAATTTTTGAAGAATATTTGAAAAAGTGGAACGCTGAACTTGTTAAGAAAAATCGTAAAATTTTGCTCTTGGTCGATAACTGTCCCGCTCATCCAAATATTTCACATAATAACATCAACCTTCAATTTTTTTCACCCAATGTGACACTAGTTCTGCAACCAATGGACCAGGGTGTCATTTGAAGCCTTAAACAAACGTATCGGTAACATATGTTGATGAAAATTATGGAGTTTCAAGAAGTTGTCAACATTACCAAAGCTGTCACCATTTTAGATGGTATAAATTTGCTTACTATTGCAGAAACGTTTCGTAATTGTTTTCGCCATGCGAAATAGTCAACGAATTTAATCCAGAAGATGAAATTCCATTAAGCGATTTACTGAAAATTAATAGTTTACTGAATATAGACAAATTAATGACTATGTAAATGTTGACAATAATACAGGGTGGCGCATCGAATACGAAACAGGGTGACACCAACCCTAAAATCTTAAATGGAAAGGGGGTCGAGTGATACCTTATTTTAAAGGTCTTTTAATTCCCAGGACTGATTGTCTGCTGGTTAGTGCTTGTCAATAACCTCTTAAGAAGTAGGATGAACT